TAGGAAAGCATCATCTACCAGATCTGATGTCGGGGCCATGCAAATTGATTACGCTTTCACCTGATGCTAACAACTTTCCCAGACTGAATTGGTTTCTCGATGTTGCACTTCACTGTTGCAAAAGACTTCGACAGAATTTCCTTTTTAGCATGCAAAGATAGATAAAACAGCTACTTTTCCAGTTTTTTTTTATGCTCTTTTTAATTTAAGGTTGACGTGCAGCCAAATCAAATTTATTTGCTTTTCCATATCGGATTCACGTCATCGTTTCGAAAACACTCTTGATTGCTGGACTATCGGAGGCTATGTTCAGTTTAAAAAAAAAAAGTTAGGCCATCTCATGTATTAGTTTGAAATTTTCGACCTAATTTTGTGTTTTAACAAAATATTATTTTGACTTTCTGGGGATTAGAATCGACTCGCGCCACGTGCATTTTGGAAACGCGTGTAATATTTGTTTTAAGTAGTAGATAGTTTTTTCTCGATTTAAAAAGTAGTGGGTACTTCTCTATTTTCGGTAGTTTTACAGTCTTGACTTTTGATGATAGTTAATTGAGGAGAGAAATAAGTTAAGGTGGAAACCAAAAAGGAGAGCTTTAATATCCTTCAAAAGATAGTGTAGATGGTGCAAGGTTAAATTTGAAAAGCTAAAAGTGAGACAAAATGGGCTTTAGACTTAAATATATAAATAGATATAGCTACAGATTTTAAGTCCGCACACAAGATAAGTAAACGAGAATTGGATGAGAGACCCGTGATATTTGCCTTATAGGACCCTTCCTAAGTAGGATAATCTGTTTAGTATTCTCAAAATACGATTTTAACGTCCATTCAAGTCAATCACCTCTTGCTAATAATATCACAAGATACTGTTACATCATTCTAAATTAAGCTGTAATTAATTCGAACGTGACAATTGACTACCGCAGACAAAAACATCATGTTCCGAAAGCATTTTAAAGTTTCATCCATCTTCTAAAATAGTGTTTGAAATATTTTCATAAATCTTACACATACTTCATTTCATTAAATATTTCATTTCATCTAAACGAGCTCATCTTTTACTAGTGGAAGAATATTGTGCTTAAGAGAATAATCGCGACCGTTTTAATACCAGAATGCAATGTACATGACTCCATCTTTATCAAATTAAGGCGTACCTTCAAATTATACACTACCAAAGAATGTTTCAGTTTGTATCCGGTGCGTTCTCCACCACAGCTTTGGTCTTCGATCTAGATTCACTTTACAGGCTTAAATGTGCATCTAAACCCCTCTCGTACAATAATTGAACACCAAAGGTATGTGCAAGGAAGTTTCCTGTAGAGTACATTTTCAGCAACGCAACGAGTGGCCCGGCCCTTTGGTAGCAGGGAGTATATCTTAGAAGTGTATCGATTACCCAAGTGAGGTGTGGTGTAATTGATCGATCGCATCACCTATACAACAGTCCTAGTAACAGATTTTGCGTTTGAATTTCGAAAACCAATATATGATCGACTTGTTTCTCTACATGTCACTGTCATGTGGTGCCAGGACGCGTAAATAGGGTATATGACAGTAAAACCCAATGCATATGAACTTTTACAAAATGGTTAATATCACAAAAAATCTCAAACTGGTGTACCTGTGATAAATTTACCATAAACTATTTTTTTTACCACAAAAAACCCCAAACTGGTACACCTGTGACAATTTTACCCCGAACTATTTTTTTGACAATAAAAAATCCCACACTGGTACACCTATAATAATTTTACCCTGAACTATTTTTTTGACAACCAAAAATCCCACACTGGTACACGTATAATAATTTTATCCCGAACTAATTTTTTGACCACTAAAAATCCCAAATTGGTACACTTGTGATAAATTTACCCTCCGCTAGTTTCCATTAAATTTTACTATCGAATTGCTAAATTTGATGACATGTGGTAGTTGACGTGTGTACCAGTTTGAGGTTTTACCCCTCTGTTTATCACAAGTTTGTCAATTTGTGATTTTTCATGATATTAATCAAATTTAATGGACACTAACAGATGGTAAATTTATCACAAATGTACCAGTTTTGGATTTTTAGTGGTCAAAAAATTAGTTTGGGATAAAATTGTTACAGGTGTACTAGTTTGGGATTTTTTGTGGTCAAAAAATTAGTTTGAGGTAAAATTATCACAAGTGTACCAGTGTGGGGTTTTTTGTGATAAAAAAAATAGTTCGCGGTAAATTTATCACAGGTGTACCAATTTGAAATTTTTGGTGGTCAAAAAATTAGTTCGGAGTAAAATTGTCACAGGTGTATCAGTTTAGGGTTTTTCGTGGTATTAACCATTTACAAAAAGCTGACAACATAGAAGATCAAAAGGTGAAACGGAAGATTTTGGTGTGAACTATGCAAGATTCAATTTGATAGCTATTCTATGAAACTCTTGATGGGCCAGACAACATCCAGATGGTTTGAGTCTTAGCTTTTACGTCTTAGTCGAATTGTGAAAGGCCCAAGCCTTGCTTACTTACTCCCTAGAATGGAGGTTTTTGGGCCGTTCTCTTGGATCATGAAAATGATCATGATCAAGATTAGAGTCGGCATTTCTTTTAACATTCTTTTTTAACCCGAAGTCAACTGAACAACCTCAATTTTTTTTTTTTTTATGATTGGTAATTTGATAGGCCAAGTATTACTTCCAATCAGCTGGTGTGAGAAATATGTAATTCTAAAAAGATTGAGTTTCGCGGAATACCGTTCCATTAAAGTTTTTTTTTTCAGATATCTTTGCAAAAATGAGAAAGTTATTTAATGGAGTATATCAAAAAAATTCGACTTCAACGTATGTCTTCCCTTCTTCTCGTTGCTGCATATGCAACTCGTACACATACTCTCTTTGTTTCTTGAACCCCTGACCGACCATCGGCCTCTGTAATGCTAGTTGGAGGATCTTACGGTGAACATGCGTTTGGGGCATGACATATCGACGCCTCTCGAAGATTCATTGTCACGATGTGTAGGAAACCATCTCAAATGTACTTTTTTTTTTCTCTACGCTTGTCAACAACAAAGCAATGGCTGGCACAGCCCGATGACTCGAGATCATAATATCTTTACATGACTAGTTATCGATGCAAAACTCGCATCAAGTCATTATTTTTAAGAGGTTACTTGTCTACCTCAAATATTAACCAAACACATATTAATATCGATGCAATTCCTCGTGTAGCGTTATTGTCAAATCCTTGCCCAAGGTTTTGCAATTGACAACAAACGCGTTGATGAAACCCATCACTTTCTATTTGTGTTTTGATTATCCCTAGAGTCCAAATTCGACTGACTTTCAATTCGACCGATTATCCCTAGGCCTAATCTCACCTAACCCTGACGATGATTGCAGCACCATTTCTAATTGTATGAAGGTTTGTCCTCGCACCGCCATGGTTGAGAACTACCCACTAACTTCTGGATTTTAATATGATGAATAATCTACCCACCATAGATTTTATTGAGCTTTTATAATAAAAAAAATTTACGTATTTGTATTGCTTTTATGTGTAGTGTCGGTCGTTCGTATGCAACTTACATATTACGTCATCACGAGAAACCCTTAAATGCCGACAGAACAAAAAAGAGAGAGAGAAAAATTATGCCTTCCGGCCATATTTTATAATAAAATACGCGAAATCAATTTTTAATATATGCTGCGGAGTGATTAAATATCGCAATCCTTAAATGAAAATCTTTAACTTGATCTTTGCACTTTCTTAATTTCAGTTTCTTCTGAAAATGCTGCAAATTAATCGGTGCTAAGATTGTTATCCGATCAAGTCTTATCGAAAAGAAAAGAACCAATAGATGATATCTGGATAAATCGGATCGGGCTAAACGAGCGTGCCGATCGATTGTTATTTTATTTTTATTTTAATCGTTGAAAGGCGGCAGCTAAACCTTTTGGGGACATGCGAAGTAGAGTTTACAGTCACAACCCAAAGTTTATTTTTGCGAGCAATTTCTCTCCATTAAATAATTAATTTCTTAATTTTTAGCGGAAGATTTAGGAAACCCAAAAAAGGCGGAACGAAGGGTGTGGGCCCCGACAATATCATGCGACTTTTTTTATTCGGGCTTCTTCTCCCGAAGGTAACATTAGTCTATTGTGGGGCCCGCAGTTCGCGGGGAACTGTTTCCAATCTTCCACGGCACGTGCCAACCGTTTCACACCGTCCGACGTGTCGTGCACGCGCCCCCGAGACCAAGAGACGGATAGAGAGAGAGACGGCAGGGGGAGCCTTTTGATCCCGTCGATGATCCACCACCGCCCATCGCGGAAGACGAACGGCTGAGAAGAAGATGAATTTTAAACGTAAGATTCTTTTGCCCTTTGAATCACTTTCGGAATAAAAACGTAAGCAAATCCTTAAACTTTGGCCGACCGTGTAACGTGATTTCTAAACTTTTTAATCCCTGACCTTTAGTTCAGTATTCAATATAATCTATAAAGTTTTAATTTATTCAATGTGATTTCTTGAACTTTTGATACATGTTCAACGTAATCCTCGAACATTATATTAAACATTACATTTTCATATAGTTGAAAGATTACATTGAATATATACCAAAAGTCTATAGACCACATTGAACAAATTAAAAGATCAATGGTCATATTGAACATTGAGTTAAAGTTTAGCGTTTATAATTTAATTTATGGATAATATTAGTTCATGGATAACAAATTAAAGTATTAGGAATTAATGCAGAGACGGTCTGTGCCATTTTTTCGTGACTCTTTAATTTATTATTCGGCGATTACGTAATAATTCGATCGAAATACGTGAGATTAGCCTGGTCCGGACGACACCTCTGGCCCTGGGATCATCCGGCCCCACCCGACCACCCCCCACCCCCGAAACCCGAGGTCAGAAGTCAACGCCTCCAGCTCGCCAGTTTCCGACAAAAGCTCCCGCCGGCCCGAAATGACGGAAATGCCACTCCCTCCTCCTCCTCCTACGACTTCAACGCAAACGCTGCGCTGTATGAGCAGCGAAAGTTCTTCTTCATGCTCCTGTGCGGATTCCTTTCCTCCCAATTTCCCACGTCCTTTCTCGACAACCTTGGTCGTCTTCCTCGTCTTCTTGTACCTACGCCGGTCACATCAACCCCACCTCTCTCTCTCTCTCTCTCTCTCTCTGCCCTCCATTTGCTGAAGCGAGGCGACAAGCCGAAGTTGCCGGCCGAGCATCGCCTCCGTCTCTTCCGGCAGGTTTTGCCGGTGGAGTACAGGTTTCCGGGCTTAACTCTCGTCTTCGCTGATCCGCTTTCGGCTCTGTTTGTCGATCCTTTTTCGGAAGCCGCGACCGCCCGGTTCGTGGTGATTCGGTTTCCGTGATGAGATCGTGCTTTTTGTCGGGATTTCTGGCGGGTTCGGCTTGCGCTGATCGAGATACTTAAGTTTACGGGTGTGCTGGCTGAGTGAGCAGTGAGCTGTTGCGCAGGGTGGTGAAGTCAAGCGACGTGGTATTTGGGGGGTGGGGGTTGTCTGGAGTCTCGAGGTGAGGAGTGGGAAATTCAAGTTGGGGATCAGGCGGATCGAGCTTCGAAGCCTCGAAACATAGACTGCAAGGGTGAAGAGACTGAAGTATGCGCTAAAGGTTTGGTCTTTTGACCGTAGGGGTGGTCCCCGGGACATTGGGTTGCGAGAACTGACTTTTCAAGGATTGACTATGTGAGGTTTGAACAAATTTCTGGGTCGATCATCTCATTTTGGTCCTTGGTTCTCTTGTTCATGTGCTTGGTGGGTTGGAATGACCATCAGCGCATGAAATTTCTTACCTAAAGAACCTTCGAAGGCCACAGAGTTTGCATTTAACACTGAAGCAAATACAAAGGGGATCTCGATCGGCTCTGATGGCTCCAGGTCCTCTCGTGTTCCGTTCTTTGTGTTTTGGCTGGTAATTGGAGAAGTTGGGTGATTCCCCAAAGGTTTTAGCTTCCATGACAGATTTTGGAGGTACCTAAGAATTCTAGATGTCAATTTCGGCATTTACTCAGCTGTTGTTGTTCGTGCAATTTCTCAGAGCATCAGCTTCAGGGTTTGTTCTTAAGTCGAGGGTTTGCGGTGCTGATCAAATAGCATATTCGAGTTATCTAGGTCGTGAATTGTTTTTCATCAATGGGGGTGTAGTCGACAAATTTGTGTTCTGCGAGGCCCTCAAAAGCTACGGCGCAAACAGTTGCGACTTTGAGGAATACCCTGGAGTAATTCAATGTGAACTCGACCTTCCGCAAGGTACTACTTATAACTCACATGGTGTATAATTTCATTGTTTACAGGCTTGATTTTTGGAGGTCTATTGAGTGCGGAAGCTTTATACTTAAAATGTCCGTAATCGTTCCAAACCTTTTCTATTGGCAGCACGTTTGCATCTTGGCCGAGGAAGAAAGCTTTTGCAGAAACATACAATGGACAAATCTGAAGGGAACCATAAGAGTAATTTGACAGAGGATAGCATTGACAATAATGATAAACCTCTATCAACCTCCAAAATTATTGGCGTGGTAGTCCCGGGAACTTTTGCTGTCTGTTGTGTTTCACTTTGTGCCTGGTTCTATGGGAAAAGGAAACCATCTGCTCACACAATGCTTTCAAAGGACCTGAATTCAAGTAAGTACAGTACATCATCATTGGTATATGAACCAAAAGTTATTTACTTTGGTATTGTTTGTTTGTTTCTTTCTTAGTCTTAGATTCTAACACATCTTTCCTCCCAGTGGATTCAATTTCCTCCTTCGACAGGAACTCTGTTTCAGAAAAGGTTTATTCCCATGAAAAGTTCCTGGGCAGTCCAGCTCGGGTGCCCCCTAGTCCAATGAGGGTTCCACAGAGTCCTAGATTTTCAATGTCCCCATCTCCAAGACTGAGTAGACTTGGATCGCTGCATCTCAATTTCAATCAGGTCACTAAAGCAACAAACAGTTTTTCACCTTCATTTCGAATAGGGAAAGGAGGCTTTGGGACTGTCTACAGGGCACAACTAGATGATGGTCAGGTGGTTGCCATAAAAAGAGCAAAGAGGGTGGGTGATTTTTTTCATGTAATAAACATAGCCTCTCCTGCATAATTATTGCCAGTGTGAAATATGATGAGCCACGAGCATACGCCTATAAGAATTACTAGCAAATTATATGCTTTAAGTTCCCGTGGGGTACCATACTCTAGATATTGCAATACCAAATTGCAGATATAGGACTAAGTGGTCTGTGTATACTTGCTTTTGATGTCATCATTTAGAAAGAGGTGGTTTTTTTCCTGAGAGGATTGTTATAATGGAGGAGCTTGTTCTTATGTTTGTATGATTGTCCCAAGATAAGCAGTTGAACTAGTGGGCTAAAAAGAGAATTCGGTTACAGTTTGTTGCCATCTAAGATTTTACCTAAGATGAAGTAAAAGACGGATGTTTCTTACAAAATGTATGCCTGCGGCATAAAATGACTCCGCTTCGTTCTGTTTAATGTTATAGATATATTAATGCTGTCCAACTGAGACAGTTGGTCCTTATGACTTATGAGTGGGTGGAAGTTTCTTATGGAAGAAAGCGAAGAGTTTGCCTTCTTTACCGAAACCAAGATTTAATATATTCAGCTATGATCTAGTTTGACATGGCATTATTTAGTGTTGTCAGACTGGTTTAAAGATGGTTCGCCAACCTAAATTGTTTTTCGTTGTATTATACCATGGACTTGTAATTTACGTGAGAATATCTCACTTTCTGCAGGAGCATTTTAAGGGTTTGCGAACTGAATTTAGCAGTGAAGTTGAGCTTCTAGCTAAGATTGATCATCGGAATCTGGTGAGGCTGCTTGGGTATGTTGATAATGGAGACGAACGCCTTATCATCACAGAGTATGTGCCAAATGGTACTCTAAGGGAACATTTGGATGGTAAGATCTCTAAACTTGAGTTTGGACTAGTTTTTCATTTCGAAGGTAATACTTATGCCCGATCCTTGCAGGACGTCGTGGTAGGATTCTGGATTTTAATCAAAGACTTGAAATCGCCATCGACATTGCTCACGGCTTGACTTATCTCCATCTATATGCAGGTAATAGAACTTCTCTTTTGAGCTTACACTATATTTTTTTTTTTGTTGAATCTTTCATCAAGAAGTGTAGCCGTACGTCTATTACCCCTTCTTCTAGTAATTCCGCATGATAAAAATCATCTAAAATGTCTCATTCTACTCGAGTTGGTCGGCATGGTTGCATGGGTACATGTAGTTTTGTTAGAGCATAAGTGACCGAGTGCTATTGTCAAGCAAGTTACGAATATGACTTAATCCTCACAGGTTAGTCAGTGTGTGAACAGAACCATGAGGGCGATATTCAACAAGTTTATCTTTTAATCTTCTTTTCCATTGATTCTCGACTCTGTTCCCTTTTAGAGGCTGCTAAATGCTATAAACATACTGCCTCTCTTGATCAATGGTCATGAACGGGAGCTGTTCCTTGAAAATCCGAACATGTATTAGGAAATATAAGCTTTTTCTTTTAGGGTAATACTTCAGCCATTCTTGATAGTCTTGTTCACAGATAAAATTCCTCTGCACCCTTTACAATTGTGGAACTTTGCAAGAGCATTTCTGGTGGAGAAAACATCCTCTGGAATTAGCAATTTCTTCGATTTGTCTCAGATATCAAAAGGATGGAATTCATATAGACAGCGATAAACAGATTTGAAAGAGCAAAGAGTAATTTAAACATCACCTACGGATTTACCAGCTATAATTTCTCTACTTGTAGCCGCTGCATATAGGGACAAATTAGGAAGGGAAACAGCATCCTAGCTTGAGCCTACTGCATTTGATATTTGAATTTCACCTGGAGGGATGAAAAGGCTGTCAAGGACTAGAAGGGAAAGGGCTGATAGTTTCTGTTCTTCTATTGCTTATTGCGACTGACATGGATCTGCAATCTCCATGTCATCCTATCATGGTTACTAATACTATCTTTAGCCTTCAAATCAATTGTTTCCTCTTCACACTTTCTTGGAAGCCATTGTCCACGGAAAAACTATGACATAACCATCATGTGATTCATGCATTGTGATCCTTGCTGGCCACACGCGGCTCTTGTAGCTTTAATACCATTCTTTTGTCTTTTCCTTACTAATCAAATCTTATCTTCTGTTGTCCTTAATAGAAAGGCAAATTATCCATCGCGATGTAAAATCATCGAACATCCTTCTGACGGAGACCTTGAGGGCTAAGGTAGCTGATTTTGGATTTGCAAGGCTTGGTGCTGTGGATTCAGATGAATCTCATGTCTCAACAAACGTGAAAGGGACAGTTGGTTACCTAGACCCAGAGTATATGAGGACCTATAAGCTTACTACCAAGAGTGATGTGTACTCGTTTGGAGTTTTACTTGTTGAAATGCTGACGGGCCGTCGTCCTGTTGAACTAAAGCGGCCTTTTGAAGAACGCGTGACACTTGTATGGGTATGTTAATCTCACCTTCTTAAAACAAACGGTTTAGTTACTAGAATATTCATCATAATGTGAGAAAACTCGGACTCCATTGCATGTATGCTTTTTTGATATTGAATTACAGTGAAACCTTCATCAATACAGAACAGCACCAGTTGATGGGTAATAGCTATAGGGATAACTATATAGTATGAGACGACTCGTGATTGAAAAAATGAAAAAGAAAAAAAAAATCCGGTGGTTCCCATTGTTTTCACCAACTGCTGAATTGCACCCAAGCTTGGTTAGATGAGCCGCTCCTTGTTAAGCTTTTCTTCAACTAGATCACATAACTTGTTAAAAGAAAAAGATGAGATCATTGTGTCATTATAGTCAGGTTTACATCAGAAAAATGATCATGCTAGCTTGATGCATGTCTGAGAGTAGTTTGTCAGTTACCTTCATTGACCTAAAACTTCTATCCTTAATTGAATGAATTAATAGTTTAGTCAGAAAATTCAGTGGACACATGACTGTGCAGGCCTTCAAGAAGTTCGACGAGGGAGAGGTCAACGACCTTGTGGATCCAAGATTGGAAGAAGTAGTTGATGCAGGGATACTCGTGAGAATCTTTGGGTTGGCCATTCAGTGTGCAGCACCCATCCGGACTGATCGGCCTGATATGAAAGCAGTTGGCGAGCAGTTGTGGGCAATCAGGGCAGACTATGTTAGGACTGCAAGGAGGGGGCACGGATCGAAATCTGGGCAAGTGGGCCTGGTATGAAGCAGTTGGCGCGCAGTTTATTTATTTACCCTTCTAAAGTATCACACGATCTTCACAGGTTTTCTCCCCTCAAGGACAGCAGTAGTAGTTTAATTTGCTACTCGTGTATAGATGTATTCATTGCATTGTGTATGGCCATTTCATGGGAAGAAATAGTTCACCTGCTTTTGTGAAAATTTACTGTTCTATGACAGAACTTTGCCAGATTAAGTACCGAGCAAACTACGAGGAAAAGTTAGTAGCTTGCGGCACATTGTCATTGTGTCGTTCTACCTTCTTTGCCCCATTTGTTTTCCTTCCTATCAATTGTTCATTGATTCATCCTTTGTCTAGTTGTCACGTGCCAACTTTAGTCCCCAGTATGCTATGGAGAAGAAAATTATGTTAACGAGTGAGATAAATGCTACCTGGAGTTTCCAGTTTTTTCTCCCTTATAAGAACCTGAATGATGGATTTCAGAAGACTAGCCAATATAGATGTGCATCAGCCTACTTACGTGTTTTGTGGGCATATGTTTTACCCGTCCTTATATCAACACAGAAAGTAGATAAATCATGCTATGCTATTGAAGGACTTTTTGGTATCATGCTGTACAACCTCGGGCCAGTGTCATAGGACAGGACATATACACCGTTTGGTGTTACTTTGAACGCAAAGGTGGATGCAGTAATCACGCCGGCGCGCATTAATATAAGAAAGAAACGAAGGGAAACATGCAGTACATTGATCATTGTTACAATGCTGTACAACCTCAGGCCAGTGTCATAGGAAAACATGGAAGAGAAGGCCCACTCAGGCCGTTGAAGGCGGATTATACCTTGAGCAGCTCGCATTGCTCTCACCGTCCAAGCTTCCCATGCTTCCATTCCCCGCCAATTTCTGCTTCGCCAGGTGCATTGATGGGCATTCGTCTGCTTACACAGAATTGACGCCAGCAGACTTTTCCAAAGTGAAATAAACAAAAGTCGAAGACCTTAACCAAAACATATTCTTTCTATGTATTTAGCCGTTCGTGCAAATTGAATTTTGGATTTTGATCTTCGGGATCTTTCCATCGTCTTATTTCGGTATATTTTCCAGTTTTTTCCTGTTGGGACCCGCTATCAAATGGCATTACCTGTGGTTCACTGAGTGGTTTATACGAGATCTCCAAAGATCATTTGCAAAGTTTTACGTATGCTCAGAATATTATCTGCCTTGCGCCACTTCCTTCAATTTCTCGACGGATGAATCAAGAAAAAAGTTCGTTTGATTGTGCTTCAAACTACATGATTTGCGGATTGTGATTTCTTTGGTCTCATTTTGGAGCTTTATCAACAATTTGCTTGTGTAGGCGGAGATCCGGTATTTTCAAAATCCTTATGTAAGGAATTGCAAAAGTCAAACTTCAATTCAACTCAAGAAGAAGCGTCACGGCCTAGGTTTGGGCCAACTCCGATGTTGATCTATAGTAATAGTTTTCGAAAGTAGTCAACCGAGGTAGGTTTTTATTTTAACCTAGAGCAATGCATCTTCTCAAACCGACACCTTTGACTATTGTGTGCCTACTATGGATTTGCACAAATCTTATTTATGCTAGACGTTGGCTTTATTGACTCATTTCAAAGAAGTTGGTGAGCTAGAGGAAGTGAGAGTCTTTCTGTATGAATAAAAATGCAGCAGAACTGTTGAAATTGGGATTTCAGGGCACCAATCCACGACTTGAGGATCAGCAAGTTTCGTATGGTTCTCATCAGTCTAATTTAGCAGATAAGGTCTATTTTGCTTAGATCAGGTTGAGATACTCTTCTACTGTGTCAAATGCAATTTCGGTGAAGCAAAATAGTTGATGAAAATGCTGTGATGGAGCCACATTAGTTTTTCTGTGACATACAGGATATGATCCGCGAAGAATTCCTAAGAGATTCATAACAATAATGCCTGCGAGTTAAGATTTTTCAGTGACAGATACTGCAGCAATCGATGTAGTTACTTGATCACTCAACAATTTAAGACTCTTGTCATAATTGCATACTGGCTCGCCTGCAATCCCTTTTGCCAACAATCGTCAACCCTTTCTCGCTTGGATACATGCGAGGGAGTATTGAACTTCAGGACGATTTAGCTTTTTTAAGCTGGATCCATTTGAAGATATTATGGAAAAGTTTATTCTGGCGTAGTCGCACTTATAGACCGTACGAATACAATTCCTGATTGCAGACACCAGTTGTCTGAATAAGCAAAATCATTTTGAACTGATAGAAGAACTTGGATCTGGAGGGACTGGGACTTCAACAGCTCCTTCCAACATCTGAGTGATTTTCTTCATGGTCGGCCTCAAAGACGGGTCTTCCTGGATGCACCACAATGCTGTCATCACAAATCTTCTCACCCTCTTTATGTCACTTGATGCCTCCTCATCGCTCTCCACTAACTCAAGTACGCTCCCGTCGTGGTAGCAGTCATACACCCAGTCGACCAGCACAATTTGAGCTTCAATTTCTGCTTCCGGCTCATAGTTCTTTCTGCAACAGATGAGCTCTACCAACAAAATGCCGAAGCTGTAAACGTCTACTTTGCTAGAAATAGGCATATTCCTGAACCATTCTCGCGCTAAATAACCTCTGGTGCCTCTGACTCCGGTGGTGGTTCGTGTTTGGTTCCCCATCAAGAGCTTAGCTAATCCGAAGTCTGATATTTTTGCAGAGAGAGAGCCATCGAGAAGTATATTTTGCGGCTTGATGTCACAGTGGATTATATGCCTGGTGCAATCGTCATGCAAGTAAGAGAGCCCCCGCGCAACACCACAGGCAATTTCTATTCTTTTGTACCAGCTGGGCCTTGAAGCGCCAAATAGAAAATCCGCCAAAGTGCCGTTGCTCATTAATTCATACACCAGTAGTCGGTGTTGACCCTCACTGCAGAATCCATGCAACTGCACTAAGTTCTTGTGGTTAGTTTGGCCAATTGCATTCACTTCTCTTTCAAACTCCTTTTCGCTTTCTCCGGTCCTTGTCGCCAACACTTTTACTGCCACAAAGTTTGCTTCCTTGGATCCGAGAACACCTTTGTACACTGTTCCAAAAGCACCCCTACCTAGTTCTTCTTTGAATCCATCTGTTGCTTCTTGAAGCTCCTGATAAGTGAAAGTCTGCGTGCATGTGGCTTGGTTGATCTGGACTAGTCGTGACAACTTATAATCCCTAAATCGGAAGCTTCTATAAATTAAATAGGTAATGAGGAGTAAAAGCAAGTTCACAAACACAGAGCTACTCAACAGCACTGATCCGATGATAATTAGAGTCGAATATTTGTTTCCGTTTCCTGTAGATTTTGAAGTCGAGTTATTTATCCTGACCTTGATCAGAGCTTTTCCAATCTCACTAGGAACCATCCTTCCATTTGAAAGAGGGATCTTCTTTTTCCAGCAAATTCCATCGCCAAAAATAGCAACTGCGCAAAAACAATCAACCAAGCAAGCCTCTCTGCACCAGTCCTCGGTTTGCACCACACTACGCTCGTAATCAGACAGTGGCCAGTTGGTATTGAGCATGTATTGGAAAGTGAACTGGTCTGTTTCCGGCCTACTTCCGTCACAACTTTGTGGTAAGAAGTCCTGTCTGCATCCGTTCATCTCGTTCGTTGAATCTAACAGAGTATATCCAGGTGGGCAACGGCATCGGGGCCTCTGATCGTCTCCAAGAGCACAGTAGCTGTTGAAGCCACAAGCTCCAGGACCGATATTTTGTGAGATGCTCGTGCATATATTTGGAGGGACCGGGGAAGAGACCATCGACCAGGCCATTGCCCAGCCAGAACTTGAATTTGCCGTCTTAGGGTGGATATATTGCCTGAAGACCCCATCATATTCAAGGATCGCTCTCTGGTAAAATCCGCTGTTCGGGACTGTGCCTGAGGTGACGGGATTGAGTACCGTTCCATTCATTGCCGTGAGGTAGACCATACCACTTTGATTGAATATCAACCGGAAGCCGGTACCCAGGGTGTTGCTGGCCCAGTAAGCATCTGAGGGGTCCGACGGGGTAGGAGTGGCATAGAACTCGAGATTTCCGTCGTCTTGTAGTATGAAGTGGAATCTCCCAGTGGAGTAATTCATTTCGGAGTAGCGAGCGTTAACTGTAGTCCCTTGATCCAATTGTTGCGTAGGCAGTATTGTGTCGGTCGGCTGGCTGAACGTCTCCCACAAGTTGACGTAGTTCTGGCTCACCAAGACAAAGTTCCCCGTGTCGAGCATGGCTGCATACGCTACACCGGTCACAGTCGGGCTAGGAGACCACAACTCTCTTCCATTTGGGTCGGCAAGCACCAGCCGGCCGTCGGCAGTCAACTGGATTTTCGAACCATCTGGCGCTAGATCATCACCATTTGCCGACCAGACGATGGTCTGGTCCTCTATTTTCTCGAACCATACAGCCAACAAATGAGCTCTTTGTCCCATTCTCCGGAACCCGAAGGCGAACTCGCCCGACGGCGACAGCCAGGAAGAGTTCCGGTCATCCGCCGTCAACGAGGAGCCCAAGGTTAGGTTGCTGTTGGTCTGAGCTTTGGCGGAAAGTGGAAGCGTAACAAGCAGCAGAAGGATTCCGAGCATCACTGAAGCCATGTGAGATGAAACTTTCAGGTGCTCCTTGAAAGTAGTCAACCGAGGTAGGTTTTTATTTTAACCCAGAGCAATGCATCTTCTCAAACCAACACCTTTGACTATTATGTGCCTACTATGGATTTGCACAAATCTTATTTATGCTAGACGTTGGCTTTATTGACTCATTTCAAAGAAGTTGGTGAGCTAGAGGAAGTGAGAGTCGTTCTGTATGAATAAAAATGCAGCAGAACTGTTGAAATTGGGATTTCAGGGCACCAATCCACGACTTGAGGATCAGCAAGTTTCGTATGGTTCTCATCAGTCTAATTTAGCAGATAAGGTCTATTTTGCTTAGATCAGGTTGAGATACTCTTCTACTGTGTCAAATGCAATTTCGGTGAAGCAAAATAGTTGATGAAAATGCTGTGATGGAGCCACATTAGTTTTTCCGTGACATACAGGATATGATCTGCAAAGAATTCCTAAGAGATTCATAACAATAATGCCTGCGAGTTAAGATTTTTCAGTGACATACTGCAGCAATCGATGTAGTTACTTGATCACTCAACAATTTAAGACTCTTGTCATAATTGCATACTGGCTCGATGTAGAAACTTTCAGGTGCTCCTTGAGGTTGAGCTACTTCAGCCTTAAGGATGAAAACCAGCGCCTCATGTGTGAATCAGCAAGTTTTATTAAGAGCTCCATCTGTCAACGTTCTTGTCGTTGAGACATTTTCCTTTTTACTTAATTGCGTTTTTTTTCCTCTTAAAATACCTTATTAGTTTTATTATACATTCATCAAATTAATAACAAAATTATTTTTCATATCATTGATTATTTTTCTATTTATTGTTTAATCAAATTATTTTTCTCCATTCTTTTTATATATTATCGTTCACATTTGCAAGTGTCGTGTCAAAGTTGAACATTTGCAAGTGTCGTGTAAAAGTTGATTGCCAGAGTTCTTTATCCAGTCAAAATAATTTTATAAGGAAAGCATACCTTTCTCAAATCTAATATCTACTGGTAGATTACCAACTATTTTTCGATTTAACAAGTAGCCCGTCACTTGTCAGCAAGATAATGAATCCTACCACGTTGACATCAAGCAGCAGATTACCGAGTGTTTTAGATTTGTTTAAGTGAGCCTGTCGATTAACTGGTAAATTATCAACAAAAATACGATTTCACGGTCCTAAAATCTAGTATAGTAGATATACGAGATATTATTACGGCGAGGGATGTATAAAAATCGAGAGCTATGTGCTTTGTAAAAAAATTCTAAAGAAGTTGATAATTCACTATTTCACCGGTAGTGACTTACTGAGCTAAAAGGGAGCTTCAGTTGGTAAATTACTACTTTCACAGTCCTTAACTGTACTGGTAAGATCTTGTCCCCAAAGACAACCTCCTAAATAGGTAAATGAACTTATTGTTGAGTAAGACCTTTAATAAATTTCATACTTCATGTGATACTTAACTGCCCTAGAAGCGAGGAGACATGTTGCTAATTTCGTTTGTACTTACTAACTTTAAGGATTAATATCACAAAAAACTCTAAATCGGTACACTTATGACAAATTTACTCAAAATTAATTTTTTGACTACTCAAAATTAATTTTTTGACTACCAAAAATCTCAAATTGGTACACTTGTGACAAATTTATCCTCTATTAGTTTCCGTTAAATTTTACCATCAAATTGCTAAGTTGGATAATACATGGCAATTGATGAGTGTACAAGTTTAAGGTTTTACCCATCTGTTTGTCACATATTTACCAGTTTATGATTTTTCGTGGTATTAATCCAATTTAACAGATGATATATTTGTCACAAGTGTGCCAGTTTGGGATTTTTGGTAGTCAAAAAATTAGTTTGGGGTAATTTTATTACTGGTGCACTAGTTTAGGATTTTTGGTGATCAAAAAAATAAATTGGGGTAAATTTGTTACAAGCATACCAGTTTGGGGGTTTTTCGTGGTATCAACCCTAACTTTAATGGCGGAGGTTTACAATTTGAGATTGAGTTTGGTGTTATTAAATCTCTCAAAATGTTGGTAACTTACCATATTAAAAGCGGGTCTACATTTTTTTTTATCATACTCTAACTATCAACTTACTTTCAGACTTTTGCCCTACTTTGTGCAGTGCGTGAGAGTCAAAATCTACGTCTGAAACTACACGTCCCCACCCCTAGCCCTCCTAAGAAGGTGGGGATTCGAACTCCCCACCTCCTCCTTCCCAAGTAGGAAGGGTGGCCACTGGGACAAATTCCAGCGGTGAAAAAAAAAAAAAAAAGCTGGTCTACATTGGTAAGTTACTTATTTCCAAAGTAAGTTACTAACCGAGGTTTTATTTCCAATAGCAAATTTCTTACTTTGTTAGTAACTTACTAACTCGTAGGGAGACCCATGCTGGTAATTTATCGGTTTCGGTCTAATTTTACAGCCAAGCTTTTTATTTTACCGCCAAGTTTTTTATTTCGAGTGGTAAATTATATTCTACTTGAAGTTGGTAAGTTCCTTACTCTGCCGGCGCCAGAAGCTTGCTATCTTATTATAAGTTGATCTATGTCGATAAGTTATTAATTTCACCGATATGTTATTAAGTTCGCTGCTAAGTTTTTTTTATTTTTATTTTGGGCGATAAATTCCTAAGGAAGGTGATAACTTACCCTTGCATGTAGTGTTGGCAAATTCCTAACATGGTCTGCAAATTACCATCGGTTGATTGGAACTTGGACCAACAAGTCACATGATATTACCTACAAGATTTATAAATTATAGTCACATTCGAGAAGTGCCGTGCACGGAACCTGTTGGCCGGCGGCGCAAACGAACCCAATTTAGAACAAGGCAAAGTCTGCTTGGGCAGGGCCATCAAGCTTTGCTGTGACCCAGAAATTTCCCGGGGAGAAAACAGACGAAGTTAGAAGACTTTGACCAAACATCTTTTAGGTTTAGAGGAGACTTTATGAGTTTGAAAATGGTGGAGAAGAATGCAGAGAGACCCCAGTTGATCCATTCCCCCATGAAATCAAACCGATCACGGCTCCCTTCGTGGAAATTGAACGTTCCAATCATAGCTGCGGATGCTCGAATGTATGTGGAAATTTTGCTGTGGCGTCCCGTGTTAAACATGCGCTCGATGGATGTGATCCGTGTTGTTGTGATGATATGATGCTTAGGCTGCAATGAGTCTTGCGCAGCTTGGAGAGGAACAGTTGCGTTAATAACGAAACAACATAATTCTACATATACTCTATGAAAATTTGCATACAAGAGTTCATAAAAATAAGGATAAGCGCACCGAAAGTGCTAAAACTTATCGCAAAAATACAATTATTAAAAATTAAAAAAAAAGTACAATCACGTACTGAAACTTGCCAAAATAATGCAATCAAGTCTTTTTTCGACCAATATGGCTAACGGGAAAAACTGATATAATTTTTCATTGTTGTTCAAAGAGAGAAACGCTGATGGATGTGGTTGCCACATCGTCCATTTTAGAAAAAAAACAATATTAAAAAGTTATTAAAAGCCAAATGTCCTATGTTGCAATTAATATATGAATAATTGTTTTCAATATTTTAGAGAAATAAAAAAATTAGAAAGAAAGAAAAATCAAACAAAAAATGATTCTCAAGAAGCGCATTTATCAACTCGCCAGTGTGTTGGTGGCTGCCAAGGGCCTATTTAATAACATTTCTATTTCTCTTGTTTTTCTATTCTTTTGTTCCCCACAACAGAAAAAGAAAAGAAATTTTTTTGTGTACGTCAATTAATTTTTCTATCTCCCGGAATAGATAAGCGGTTAAGGAATAGATTAGGAACAAAAACAAGAAGTAAAAAAAAACTTTTTTGTTTCTAGGAACAAAAAGAGAAAGAATGTCATTTTAGAGAAACAATTTCCTAAATCCTAAACCCCTAAACCCTAATTCGCTAAATCCACAACCCCAAAACCTAAACATTAAACCCCCAACCTCAAACTCCAAACCCCTAACCCTAAACCCCAAACCCCTAACCCTAAACCCCAAACCCCTAAACTCTAAAACCTAAAATCCTAAATTGCAATTTCCTCGACCGTCACCCGGTATTTGATTTGTCTATAAGGAGTAATTTTTTTATGATTGTATTAAGGTCATCCAATTCTATATCATAATATATTCTGATTATATTTCTAATCTAGTTTTATCCAAACATGAATTGTTAAGTCTCCATTGATATTTTTATAATTGAATGAAAAAAAAATCGCGAATACAAATTTTTAGGGTCGTACCAAATGCATTTTTGTTCTTTTTCTATTCAGTGAATAGAAATTTTCTGCAGTTACCAAACACGTTTTTCTGCTCAGAAAGAAAATAGAAATATAAAAAAATTTATTCCTGAACATAAATTATTTCCGGGAACAAAAATATTACCATACGCACCCCCAAGCTACCTCCACCTAAATTGGAACTACCACCGTCTTTCTCAGCTTCTCCTATGTTTGATTCTTTCTTTTTTTTTTTTCCTTTTTTTCAGATTTTAATTTTTTTAAATCTTAAAATCAATTTTTCCTTTGAATTTCTTTTATTCTTCTGAAATGGTTGACATGGCAACCTCATCAGCATCTCTTTCTTCAAAAAATGGCAGAAAAAAAAAAACATGCAACGCCAGCGGTTTATATTAGCCAAATTGGACGAAGCTAATAGAGGAACATTTTTTTTTTTGACAGAGCTAATAGAGGGACTTGATTGAACTAATTTGATAAATTTTAAGATTTGATTGCACTTTATGAAAGTTCATAACTCGATTGCACTTTTGCAATAGCTTTTAGGACTTTTTGTGCACTTATCTCATAAAAAATAGAGCATTTAGAGCTTGTAGAGGGTCAATGAAGTATCAAGTCAATAACTTAATAAAAATCTTATGGACGCACGTTGGGACAAGGCAAGCTAGCATACTCGGCTATCTTTTTTTGGTCGAAAGTATACTCTGACTTGAAACTTCGATACGATGCTCGATATGTGATGAATGGACCACAACCTAATACCTTTTAGGACGTCAAGGTGATGAAGATTAGAGATGGATGAACTTGAACGGAGCTTGGTTTACTCACGGATTGGGCTGGACAGACACGAATTTTTGCTTGGAGACTCATTGTTGACACCTAAATATTCACCTATTAAACTTTTCAAAACATTTCACAAAATTAGGGATTAATCCTTAGAAAAAAAATACATGTGAATTTGCACTATCTAACATCCATGCTTTTCACTACATTTCATCGCAATTAAGAAGATTGTGATTTTTGCTACATCATGGGAGATTGGACTTGACGAGAACATTTGGAGCCTTTGATATCATTTTCCTCACCTCGATTGATTCTGCATCATTTGATACAGTTACTTGATCACTCGACAATCCCTTTTGCTGACAATCGTCAACCCGTTCTCTCTTGGATACGTGCGAAGACATTACGAAAAAGTTTATTCTGGCGTAATAGCACTTGCAGACAATACAAATACTATTCATGATTACAGACATTAGTTGTCTCGATAAGCAAAATCATAATGAACTGATAAAAGAGCTTGGATCTGGAGGGACTGAGACTTCAACAGCTCCTTCCAACATCGGAGTGATTTTCTTCATGGTTGGCCTCAAAGCTGGGTCTTCCTGGATGCACCACAATGCTGTCATCACAAATCTTCTCACCCTCCTCATGTCACTTGATGCCTCCTCGTCACTCTCCACCAGCAC